CTAGTTGAATCACCTAGCTCTATTGCCTTGCCAGCTGGTATGTTAGTGCAGTCCTTTGTACTCCCTTCTTCACGAGTAGATGAGAAAAGGTTTCTCATTTTAATGCAGAACGAGTCCTTAAAAGAAATCTCCCTTCCTGTGGGTACTGTCCTTGCTCATATGTATATTATTGATATAGTGACAGTTGCACAGCAGGATGAGCAAAACACTACTTTTCTAGATCCAAATCTCTTTAATTTTGGGGATTCACCCATTTCGGAGGATTGGAAGAAAAGGCTGAGTCAGAAGCTTGCCGAATGACGCAATGTTTTTTCTCTTCATGAATGGGATGTAGGGCTGGCTAAAGGCGTGGAACATCAAATCCGGCTCAATGATGCTCGTCCATTCAGGGAGAGATCTCGTCGTTTGACACCAGCGGACATTGATGATGTATGCCGCCACCTTCAAGGGCTACTGGCAGCGGGCATTATTAAGGAGTCACAGAGTCCATTTGCCTCTCCTATTGTCATAGCGAGGAAGAAAAATGGCAGCATCCGCATGTGTGTAGATTATCACACACTAAACAAACGTACCATTCCTGACCAGTATACGATGCCCCGTGTGGAGGATGCCCTGGAGTGCTTATCAGGAAGCCAATGGTTCTCTGTCCTAGATCTCCGAAGTGGATACTACCAAATGGCAATGGCTGAAGAAGACAAGGAGAAAACCGCTTTTATATGCCCCCTTGGCTTTTTCCAATTTGAGCGTATGCCGCAAGGCATTACTGGAGCCCCTGCGACATTTCAGCGGCTAATGGAAAAAGCCGTGGGGGATATGCATCTTCTTCAAGTCATTGTCTATTTGGATGATATAATCGTCTTCGGTAAGACCTTGGAAGAACACGAGGAACGCCTTCTGAGGGTTCTTGACAGATTGGAAGAGGTGGGGTTGAAGATCTCTATAAACAAATGCCAGTTTTGTCAACCTCAAGTTAAGTATGTTGGACATATTGTGTCCAAATCTGGCATTGCCACAGACCCTGAGAAGGTTGAAGCGGTGAAACGCTGGAAACAGCCTACTGATCTTAAATACTTGAGATCCTTCCTTGGGTTTTGTGGTTATTATCGTAGATTTACAGCAAACTATTCCGCTATTGTGCGACCTTTAACCGACCTTACCAAAGGTTACCCACCCACCCAACGTAACAGAAAACCTGAAACAGACAAGTCACCATGTTACTTCAAGGAGTCCGAGCCTTTTGGTGCCAGGTGGGATCACCCATGCTCGGAGGCATTTAATAGGATACTCTACTGTTTGACAAATGCTCCTGTTCTAGCTTTCGCGGACCCAACCAAACCATATATATTGCATGTAGATGCAAGCAGGAATGGATTGGGAGCAGTGTTAAATCAAGAGCATCCAGAAGGTTTGAGACCAGTAGCCTTTGCCAGTAGGAAGCTGAGTCCTTCAGAGCAACGGTATCCAGTCCATCAGTTAGAGTTTTTGGCACTTAAATGGGCTGTGGTAGATAAATTCCATGATTTCCTCTATGGTGCCAAATTCACTGTACGGACAGATAATAACCCGTTGACTTATGTGCTAACTACAGCAAAGCTCAGTGCCACCGGCCATCGATGGCTTGCTGCTCTGGCAACATATGATTTCACCATCCAGTATCGTCCGGGACGGCACAACATTGATGCGGATCTATTGTCGAGAAACTCAATAGAGTCACTGGAAGAATGGAGAGAAATTCCTTTGTCAGGAATTAAAGCAGTGTGTCATCAAGTCAATCTGTCTGAGCCCCCTGAAGTTTCCACACGGCAGGTGGATCAGCTTGGAGTGCCATCCATCGTTATTCCAGATGCTTACGCCTTTCCAACACATCTGGAATTGGGTTGCCTTGAGCAGCTGACACCTGAACAGTTAAAGAAAGCTCAAGATCTTGATCCTGTCATAAATGCAGTAAAGATAGGAATAAAATCAGGTGGACAAGCTACATTAACAACACAAGGTGATCCTCACTTATTCCTACTGCAACGTGAACGTGAAAAGCTGGTAATACTTGATGGACTTCTGTACAGAGTGACCCAAAAGTCTCCCGGAAAGGAAGTTAAGCAGCTTGTCTTACCAAGGAAATACCAACCTGTGGTGTTGAGATCTCTTCACGATGAGTCGGGCCATCTTGGGGTGGAAAGAACAATGGATCTTGTCAAGGCCCGGTTTTACTGGCCTAAAATGAATTCTGAGATTGCACAATACATCAAGAACTGTGGAAGATGTATTTCTAGAAAGTCCTTGCCACAGAAATCATCTTTGAACCAGATCACAAGCAATGGTCCACTGGATCTTGTGTGTATTGATTTCTTGTCCTTAGAATCAGATTCTAAGGGAGTTGCCAATGTGTTAGTGGTAACGGATCATTACACTCGGTACGCCCAGGCATTCCCAACAAAAGACCAAAAAGCCAATACTGTAGCCCAGGTGTTATATGAAAAATACTTTGTGCACTATGGGTTACCCGCCAGAATACATTCGGACCAAGGCACTGACTTTGAGAGTAGATTAATCAAGGAGCTCTTGTCAATGTTGGGAGTCAGAAAATCCCGAACCACTCCTTACCATCCTCAGGGAAATCCTCAACCTGAGCGATTTAATCGTACTCTCTTGGCAATGCTGGGAATACTCAACCTTTCAAAAAACAGAAGTGGAGTCAATACATCAGTCATTTGGTACATGCATATAATTGCACAACAAACGATGCCACTGGCTACTCCCCCTACTTCCTAATGTTCGGTAGGGAAGCTCGTTTGCCAGTCGACATCTGTTTTGGTACCTCACCGGATGGTGAAAATGAGATCCAATATCAGAAGTACATCAGTGAGATGAAAAAAGACTTAAAGAAAGCTTATGAACTTGCTTCCGATGTTGCTAACAAGACTCATCTGAAAAACAAAACACGATATGATCAAAGAGTCCGGAACCAATCATTGGAGAAAGGTGATCGGGTACTCATCCGAAATGTTGGACTTAAAGGAAAACATAAGCTGCAAGACCGTTGGAAGGCTGTACCTTATGTAATCGTCGAGAAACTGACAAACTTACCAGTTTACCGGGTCAAGCCGGAACATGGGGTCGGTGTTATCAAGACTCTACACAGAGACCATCTGTTGCCAATTGGTTATTTGGTTCGTATGCCTACTTCTCTGGAAAAAGAAAGAGTAGTTAAGAACCCTGTCACCAGAGCTCAGACCAGAAAAAGAAGATCTGATTTGTCCAGGTCAAATGATGGAGAAAACCCCCCAGAAAGTTCTGATTATGAGGATGACTATGCTTACCAAATTCATCTTTTGAATTTGGATGAATTCCAAATGAAAGTTGGAGAACACCCAACATCTCAGTAGAACATCCCGAGGGCAGATGATGGAGGGATGGAGGAAGGGGAACCTAGTTCTGGTCAGGAAAATGGAGACTGGGGTGAAACAGCTTTGTCGGAGGGCTCAGAAATTGAGGTTCCACATCCACTTCCTGATACTGTGGTGGACACAGATTTAGAAGAGGGAGACGTCCTTGAATCTAATACATCAGTGGAGGATAATGGAGCATCAGGCTCTCGAGTATCCAGACGAGCGGTGAAGCCAGTCTTTCGTTTAACCTATGATGAGCCCGGAAAACCTTCAGATACACCGTTTACTATTATTCATAGGGGAATGATGATTCAAATCAGTAATTACTCTGATTTTCAAGTGAATTTGGAAAAATTACACGGAACAAATGCAGTTTGCGCAGTCTATGCAAAACAAAAGAAAATAGAATAAGAGAAACTCTGATTGATACTCAGTTGAACAGAGGGTTTATATTGAAACTGCTTTTTATAGTGTATATTGTTTAACTATTTGCTTTTATTTTCAGTTTCATATTTAATTGTCTATACTGAATACTTTTAATTTCAAGTTTACTTCAGTAAATTGTATATAATTTCTCCCATTCACATTTGTTGTGTTTGAGTTTACAACAGTTAATTAAAAGATCCCATTTTAATGGGATATTTTGAATTAAACGTGAAATTACTACATAAAAGGGAGGTATCGTCAATAAGTGTTGTGTAAAACCAATAGTTAAAAAAAGAAACGTAACACCTGAGTTATTTGTTTTATTAGTATTTATTTTCAAACCACACCCAGGGCCCCCTCCCATGTTACAATTTTTAAAGTAGTTTAGCTACCTATAACCAGCACTGGGAAAAGGGGTTACATCTGTACTTATCCAAATATTATTTAAAACATTCTACACAATAATCTTAAATATTCTTGTGACTAATCCTTCAGTTAAACCTGTTTTAAACATAATTTTAATTTGTTTGTATTCTCATTGTGTTCTCTACATTGGAAAAAGTAAAACACAAATAAATGTACATTAAAAAAATCAAAAATTACATGAATTATTAGTATTTATTTGACATTTTCACATTTTGGTCACATTTATATTAAATAAGATAAAATATTTAAAATATTGCTGGTTTGTTACTAGTTGGTAAATCTAAGGCAACCTGAAATCTAAAAAAACAAAAGAAAAGTTATATTTATAATCAGAAAACCAATTTTATAAACATAACACAGCTTAATAACTATCTGAACAAATGACTGAACAATATAATAAGTAAAGAAGACAGACATACAACCGATTTAAGAAATGGGGTTCAACAAATATTGGATTTTTTTTTCATTTGAGCCTGCAAATAAATAGCAAATTGTGACAAAATAAAAAAGAATATTTTTATACACTGTTTTTCTGCTGTATAGATTGCACTGCACTGTTCTTTTTAAATCTTCCTTTTATGTCCTTTTAATATATAATTTTTCATTTTAGCTCATTTATTGTAATTATAATTTTTTATTTTATTTTATTATGATTATGATTTTTCCTTTTTATGATTACTGATTGTTTTAATCCTCTTTCTGTAAAGCACTTTGAATTACCATTGTATGAAATGTGCTATATATTAATTAACTTTCCTTGCCTTGCCTATAATATTTAACATATTATAAATCACTAATCAAAAAAAGCTCATTTGTGACCATATAAACGCATTTTTACTAACAGTCAGATGTTCGCAACAAAAGTTGCACAATCCAAACATCACTTGAGTTACTTAAGGCTTAAAACACATCTGGTCAACATCGGTTGGAGAATGTGCTGATGAGCAGCCCACCACCTACAATCAGCAGAACACCGGCCGCCCATCCTACATAGATGGAGGCTCCCAGTTCTCCTTTTCTCCCCGCTATTGCTTGAGGATTATAGAAGTCCACGATGATAACATATGCCGACCAGCTGACAGCAACAAGGCACAGTACACCTGCAACTATAAAGACTGCACCAGCTGCTATTCCAGTGTTAGTCTTTTTAAGCCGCTCTTCTCTATAAAAGTTGGTGCAGTCGGCTCCAACAATGGACAGTCCAATGGCAACCACACTGACTGCAATAGAGGCACAGATCAAAGCTCGAGCTGCCTGGAGATCTTGAGTAAGAGCCAGGATGGAGTCATACGCTTTGCACTGCATGTGACCGGTGCTCTGCAGGACGCAGTTCATCCACAAGCCTTCCCAGAAAACCTGTGCTGTCACGATGTTTGCTCCCACGAAGGCTGTCACTTTCCACATAGGTAATGCACACACCAGGATAGTACCGCACAGACCCAACACAGCCAGACATACAGCCAAGATTTGTCTTCTCCTCATCTTTTACAGAACAAAGCCGATTCATCTGCAATAAAAGGGAGGAAAAACGTTGTAGTTGTGAGCGCAAACGACTATTGACAAAGTGAATGCTCTTCCTTGTTGTACCTCAGGTATTGGTATTTGAACAAAGAGAAAGCAAAGCAAGGGGAGGAGACCCATATTGAGTTTCCTGCTCAACTTGATTCTTCTAATCAGTAAAGCCACAATAAGGACAGATTCATGGAAAAAGTACAATTCTATTATTTTAAGCAACAGCTAGCCTAAATTGAAAACACTGAAATTGGCATGGCTTCACTAAAACAATAGTTCATCCAAAATAAAAATTCTAGTTGTGTCCCAAATGATGCACTGTACTCTACGTACTCAACAGTATAGTGTATGAATTATATAAGATTAATTTGTCATCCAACATCAGGAACACTTCCTCATCCAGTATAAAGCTGCGACAGTTGAGTGCATAAAGTGTCCAACATTATACATTTTAGTTAAGTACATCATCCAGGCATTTTAAGTGCACTTTTACATTTTGGAATTTTCAGTGTGAACACACTACTCGCACTATTTATACTAAAAACGGCAGAATAGTGCACAAGTATGCAAATTGGGATGCGCCTTCTGTCTTTATTTACTCACCCTAAAGCTCATTCCAAACCTGTATGCTGTTTATTTTTCATTTGTTTTCATAAAACAACAGTTCATAGAGACTATGCTCCAAAAAAAGTTATTTCCAAGTTTTCTGAAGTCATACATAGTTTTATGAACAAATGACACTTTGTTACTATAGAACACTGCAGTAACATATTTTTAGGCTAGCCTGGAGGTTAGCCCTGGTTCCCTTTGACAAAAGGTTTGTTTTTTATTATTGCTGAAAATGAGGTCTGTGACAAACAACTTTTGTGAATTTTGTAGCATAAATACAATCACCAGAAGTAAAAAGCTAAATGAAGGCTGTAAACAAACTATACCACTGTTACATGACTAAGCTTCCATCAACTCTTTATTTAAACAAATGTTTTCCCTGAAGGTTTTGAGTTCCTGTTCAGTGCGATGTTTAATGTCCCCAACAACCTCTGTGGTCTCATTTAGCCACTTGTTAGCAACCGCCTTTTCGAGACAAGAGCTTAAAACACTCACACAAGGATTACTGATGTATATTTCTTTGAATAAACCTGCAAAGCTCTTAGGTTAACCACAGTCGTTATCTCAGGCATTTAAACAAAAACCCTTTTTTTTTTTTTTACTTTGCTTTCTGGACAATGAAACTGGAAGTGTAAAATGCTAACTCATTTCCTGGTTTTTGCCTACAAATATACATAATTCTATTCTGATCAGTTTCACTTGCCCTGCAGCTCTTAAGTACGGCTCCTATGGTGCAGGTTTCAAATCATGATATGTTAATGTCAAACCTCTGGGCCGGCTGCATTAACTGCTTAGACTAAAAAGTTGGTCATCTTTTTTTACTTCAAGACTGGTCATAACTTTAAGGTCAGTTGCAAAAAGGTAGATTGGTCTGATTTGAATCTAAAAAGAAAGACTGATTATCCCCTTGGCTAACAGACTTAACAGGTTTGCACAACTGCCCCTGCAAGAGCCACATCTGATTTGGGATCTACACTCTTAAAAATTAAGGTGCTTCACAATGCCATAGAAGAACCTTTTTGCCCAAATGGTTCCATAAAGAGCCTTTAACATCTGAAGAACCTTTCTGTTTCACAAAAGGTTCTTTGTGGTGAAAGAAGGTGCTTCAGATTATAAAAAGGTAAGAAAGAGATGGTTCTTTAAAGAACCTTTGACTGAATGGTTCTTTGTGGAACCAAAAATGGTTCTTCTATGGCATCGCTTGAAGAACCTTTTAAAGCACTTTTATTTTTAGAGTGTAGCATCTTTCATCTAAAGCAACGTACAACTGGGGTGGGGGTGTAACACCAAGCTAGCTTACATATGGATTTTGAAAACTTTGCCTTATGCATACCATGAGGTTGAATTTGAGAATCAGTAGATCTTAATTCGCTTTAAAAAAAAAACTGCCTTTTCCTTCCACCATCCAAATACAGAACTTTGTTGCTGCATTTGGCGCTTGATGGGGGGGCCCAGTCCCAGCCCCAGCCCCAGCATTGTAATGGATTGGTAAGTTTGGTACAAAAGCACGCATGCACTCAGGAAACAAACACGGTGGCACTACCCTTCCAAAACATGAAATTAAGTTGCCACGGAAATGGTCCATATTTGGACCTTTTTAAAAGCGTACAGTACCGGCCCAGTTTTTGGTTTGTCCCGTGTCTAGAACCGGACCGCAAACATTTTAATTTAAAGAATCCTAAAAATGGCTGCGCACTTGTTCCTAAGGTTATAGAAACTTTATAAAATAAATAATAATAATAATAATAATAATAAACCACATAATAAAAAGTAAATTACACAAAACAGACATTAATTTATTGTTAAAATAGTCATGCAAGAACATAAGTAAAACGTTCAAATCTCTTCCTTCAACAAACAGGAGAATTAATTCCAGTCCAGAAAGTCGGAGTCTCACACATAGGCTCCTGGAGCAGACCTCGGTGCAGAGTACTTCACGGAATAACCGCGACCGTCACTCTTCGGGCACTGGCAACACAGAAGCGCTCCACCGATGATCAGCAGCCCAGACGCACCCCAGCCGATGAACAGCGATGCTCCCAGCTCCCGCTTCTGAGCCTCAGACAGAATGGGGTTGTAGAAGTCTCTGATGACGGTGTGCGCGCACCAGCAGACCGGGATCAGGCACAGAACGCCACCCACCAGGAAGAACACGCCGGCCACGACCCCCACTTTAGCCTTTGCATCCTGATCGTCAATGCAGTTGGTGCACTTGCCTCCAGCGACAGCCAGAATAACTCCCAAGGAGGTCACGAGAATGGAGATGATAACAAGAGCTCGAGCGGCCTGGAGATCTTGTGGTAGCGCCAGCATGGAGTCATAGACCTTGCACTGCATCTGCCCTGTGCTCTGCTGCACGCAGTTCATCCAAAGGCCTTCCCAGAAGATCTGTGCGGTCACGATGTTGTTGCCAATAAACGCCGTCACTTTCCACATGGGGAGCGCGCAGATAATGATATCTCCCAACAAGCCGATGACCGCGAAGGCAGTGGCCAAAATCTGAAGCCCAGCAGATGCCATTATACGTTCGTGTTAGTATGCAAAGTAGCAGACCCTATCACCTGAATGGCCGATGCAATTATTTATAGTGCATGGTTTGTAATGTGATTTGATGCAGCTGGTCAGTATTTCCCGCTCTTTCCTCCTAATTAATTTAAAAAACAAGGCTGTCTGAAATAACAAACCACGGACATAATCATATCATTTGCACGTGGCTCATGTCCCCACCAATTTTTTGAAATTCGATCTTGTTCCAATCACTTTTTAAAAGCCACTGAAAGGCCTAACGCATTGAAAATGCATGATTCTTCATGATTTAAACATGTAACGCAAGATACATTTGCATAGGCCACATAGACTCACAAATCGTGGTTTATAATAAATAATTGCAAATTATATATATATATATATATA